GACACCGACACCTGGTTGTGTAGTATTGGCCAATACTGATACTATCTGTTTGAAATTGATCTGTAGGTGTGTGTGTGTATATATGAAGAACTACATACTACTTGGGTGTAAAATAATTCCCATCATGGCTTTGTCAAGCTGCTGCCTACCTTTGTGAAGCAGGAAAAATAATACGAAGTAAATCCAGTAGAATTTTTTATTGCCAACCTTGAATTGATGACAATAGCTGAATAAACTTTTGGCTCTCAAAACGGTACAGATGCCCTATTTTTCAGTAATCGCCGATACTGATACCACTATTTTAGTGCTGGATCAGGGCCCTGCCCGATACTGGTATTGGTGCAACACTAGAGATAACTCAGTTTTTATTCAATTGTGTAGCCGTGTGTACAGATATAAGGGCTGCAGGACACTAGGATCTTTTAATTAAACTCTGGATATTTTTCCCCCTAAGACGGAACTGATTTAATTGATGGATGACTGAACTAAACCGTCATGGATCTTACTGTGTGCTCTGGTCGAGGTAGCTCACAATTCGATCATTCTCCTCCTCTAAACGGCGAGCCACATGGTGCAGGCATTCAGGCACCTACGAACATATAAAAAAAGATAAATTACTGAAATGTGAAGAAAGATACAGGCGATCAACGTGGCCAGTTTCATGAGACGATCCACTCACATCTCTCTCCTGCATCAGCCGTTGCCCCTCAGCAGCATAGAGACGGTTTGTTTCTGTCAAAAACCTCTCCTCAAAGCAGTCCTTATAAACCTTTGAAGATGGAGAACACAACGGTCAGGACTTGAACAAACAAAGCCTGAAGCTGTTTACGGGACATCCGATACCTGCAGGTCTGACAGCATGCCCAACAGACTCCGCAGCAGACTGCGATCCCCAGTCTCCCCATTTCGCTCCAACTCTATCTGCTCCAAAATGCCCTCCACCGTTCGCTTCTGAATCGCCGCGTCGCTCACGATGTGGGTGCGGAACAGCTCCAGCCCCGTATCCCTGCAGCCAACAGATCAACATCATCATCTGCCTGACTGCATGATGGAAAAAACGAAGAAAGCTAAGAAACTTTACCAGATGGAGGGGAGGAGAGAGTTCTGAAGCACGTATGTTCGATCCAAGAAGAGAAAGATGCTTCGGATCATTATCTAAAAATAGAGAAATCGATTTATCAGCGCGGATTAACTGAAGACTTCTCTTAGCCTAGGCATTCAGACTCCTTACTTACAGTTTGCCTGCAGTGGTCCTGCCAGCAGCGATTCATTCGCTTCAGGAAGGAAAGGTTGTCCAGAGACTCTGTGAGCTCCAGGTTAAAGGGAAAACCACAAAAAACAACTTTCTCTCATTTTAAAACTCTAGCTTTTAATCCTTGACTTTAAAGCATGTGAAGGAGGCAGCCGATATAATGAACACAAAGTGGAGATATGGTTATAAAGCTGCACATTTATCACATGAACTACCTGATCCCACAATTTATAAAACATCAAAATAAAAATGTAAAAAAACATCTTACTACCTCTGTGCTTTCTAAATGTTTTTTCCAAGGTGTCCTGATGAGGTTATGGATAAAAAATAAACACAGAAAAAGGATATTCTCTGAACTGGTGAATCTGGGCTCGCACGTGGTCTTCACACACCTGACACAGCTGCTTGTACAGCGTGGGGGAAACTTTGTAGGAACACAGGTTCTCCACAGCCTTTTGTCAGTGAGACGTTTGAGAAGAGTCACAGCAAAATAAACAAGAAAACAATCAGACACAACCTCAGCCTTCTCCACAGAGACGTTCTGAAGCAATTTTAATATTCAGTTTCCGATTTTGCTCAACAGCTTGATCCATAAACACACCAACCTGATAGAGCTCTTCCAGGTTGTATTTGATGGAAGTGCTGTTCTGGATGGCGCTCACCGCATCGCGGAGCTTCAGCCATGTGTCCTCTGTGTAGTTCTCTGCTAGTTTTGGTCTGTCTGTTAAAAAAAACACACACAAAAAAATACATTTTAATCACACAATTAACAAAAGCAGGAAGAAGAAACAACTTTTACTTTGTAAAAAATGCTGTGACACCTATTCAATGATTTTATAACTGATTATTATTAAATGACATTTTATTAAGAACTTAATTTCTCAAAAGATATCTCCGGCATTCATAGAATATTTATTAGGACAGCAGCTAGAAATTTTTCTATTGATTATTTTTTCTATTTATTGACTAATCTTATATATTTTGAAGAGTTTTGTGTTTCTTACAGCTGTAAGTAGGGCTTCATTCAGCAAATGTTATGTTTTAGTCTGTGAACCATTTCTCTATGTAACGATTCGAACTGATTACCAGTTGGTCATTTAATAATAGATTAATCATGATTTCAATAATTTCAGTTCCAATAATTATTTCTGCCTTGATATTCATTAAAGCTCAAAAACATATTGCTATATACACTTAAAATATTCCGTCTCAGTGGGATTTTCATAACATCTGTACAAATGAACCTGTTTTTCTCTCATATTTACATCCTTTATCTCTAAAAAGTTTAAGCTTTTACAATTTATCAAAACTTTAAATGGAGAAATCCACCCAGCTGCTTAAAGACAATCACAGACGTATGCTGCACAAGTAAAAGAGTCCTATGGAAAAATAACCTGGAGTAAAATACATCATTTTAGAATCTTTATTTTCATACTAAAACTGGCAATCATTTTGCTAATCGATTAATCTGATGATTGTTTTTTTTTTTATCAACAATCGGAGAGTAAAAAGTTAATTTAAAAAGATTTTCAATACAATTTAAACCACATGAAACTAAAACTTTTTCATTTGAGCAGTTCTGGGGACAGATAGAATAGAATAGAAAATCCATTTATTGTCCCACATGGGGGAAATTCTGCTGTTTACAGCAGCAAAAAGATTATAGAAAAAATGGTCACACAAATGTAGACCTTAGAAAAATGTATAAGAATAACATAATAGTGAAGAGTTACAAAATAAACAAATACGGTACTATAAAGTGTTTTAACAATATATTGACTATATTTTATGAAGTTTTTTTTTATCTTTAAGAGGATTGCTCTGTCAGCTAAAGGTATGTTTCAGACTAATCAGTTAACAATTAATCGATTACTATATTATTCCATGAATATTTCATTAATCGATTAATCGTGATTATTCTGATTAACTGTTTCAGCCCTAGACTAAATTGAATGGCACTCTATATAATTTCCACACAATGATTGCAAATAATTTCTGCTACCAGAAATATTTGAAAACAGACAAATATTTCTTTCTTCAAAGCGAAAGAAATATTTAGAAGCCTTCTTTCAGCCAGCTGGCAGGTAGTGCACAGGAACTATCTGTAGCAAGAGGAAACTAGCACTCTGGTTACTCTGGTTTTGTTCTTCCTTCATCTCCATAAAAAAAAAGTCTGTGCATTGGTTGCAACAATATGGCAGAAAATATCAGATGTTTTGAGACCAGGATTATTTTAAATTGAAGGTTTTAAGTCATTTATACAACTGTTGTTTCCCTGGAGTAAAGGTTTCCACAGGGAGGTGGCCTATTTAATGCTGTAAAGTTGTTCTTCCTTTTAGCTGAGAGCCAGCAAGCCAGAGATCTTTTGCATACCAAAACGAAGGTTGATGTTTTGTTTTTTGTAGAAATTAAAATGCTTAGAAGGAAAGTACAGAGCTGATTGCTTTGAAATGTGAATCACATCAAGAAAAACAAATCAAAGACAGGCCATTGCTTGTTTATCTAAGCATGGAACAGAAATGTTACTAACTTTTCAAGAAACATCCCCAATAAATAAAACCTTTTGCAGCATGAGCCCATCCTCAGCCCCCTGTAGCTGATGATGATCATAAAGCCCCTCAGTGACGGTACCTTTGAAGTTTTTGATGACTATTTTTTTGGAGGCGCCTGTTTTTCCTGAGGTCCTGGCCATCCCGTTGGTGCTGTGCTCGGTCAGAGCAGAGAAGCTGGCCCTCTTGTCCTGTCGGGTGTCCTCTGCCATTATCAGATTAGCGCTTTGGCTTACCGCTCTATGCTTCACAGTGTTTTTGCTTAGTTACTGCTGGATTCTTCTGTTGCCTTTTTTTGTTTTATCGCTTTTAGCGATGCGGTCCGTTAGCTGAACTAGACGGCCTTTAGCCAGCACAATATGAGCCCTATTTAAAGCACAGAGAAAGCAAAAACGACACGAATGAAGGTGGAGAAATAAACTATAGAAAGCTAAGTAGACACACAGCTAGCTAACTGTTAACTGAAACTGCAGCACACTTCAGCGACCAGTTTCCGTCCCATTCGCCACTTTTATAGCTTTGTAGGCTAGTCCATGTCAGTGCGGACTATATACGGATTTAAACCGGTTTGGTTAATAAGTTGGGCAAAAGAAAAAAAGAGCTCCATAGTTAGAGCTGATATATCAGACTCATGCTGTTGGTAGCTGTCTTTACCATTTAGCTAGCTAGCATAACAAAATGGCTTTTCTCAGACGGGTTCACTTGGATACATGCGTTCAAGAATAACTCGGATTTTTGCGATTCGTTATAGTTTGTCATTTTTTTTACTTGTGCTAAAAAGTTGGCCCCCATTTTAGCAATACTTTTAAATGCCAACTTTATATCCCCTACTTTACAGTTAAGAAGCATAAATACATACTGTACTTAGAAGTAAGCCTACTTAATTTTATTTTCTTAATGATCATAATGAAAATATCTCTAATTTACAGTTTCACTCATATTTACATCACACCTACATAAATAACATGTTCAAAAATAATACACGTCTTTTGTTGTCCCAATTTGAAAAGCAGAGGAAATGTGGAATATATTTTTTGTTAGAGGTTTATCGTAGTTGTAAATAAGAATCTGAACATTTCAGCTTTAGGTACATTATCTGATTTTTTTTTTCTTTCTGACTTTCATAGTTATATATTTGGCTAGCAGCATCATTGCCGTGGTAACATGTTGTTTTCATGTTCGTTGATAGATTTCCGCCTTTTTTGGGTGGCCTTGAACGCACCTGTGTTCCACCTGCAGCTAGCTGAGCTTCAGATGGGAGGATAGGGAAGGACCCGACCAGTAAAAGCGCAGATTTCCTCAGCTTGCCTCGGCCCCTACTCTTGGGTACCATGGTGTATATTTTTAGAAACCTCGCATGGCGATTGCATTCTCCATATTATTAGGGCTCGCCTGTCGGTGCCGATTCGGCCTGCCGTCCTGAGCGCTCTCTGCAGCGGTAGGTATCCTGGCTGCTAACGCCGACAACTCCTCCATAAACTCGGCAAAAGGGAGTTGTTCTGATGACGATCAGATCAAGGGAAGTGAGATGGACTGGATTTATGTGAATTTTTTCACGCAGACATGTTGAAATGAAACATCTGCACTGAACACAAAACGAACAAGTCCCGTTTTTAGTAGTATCAGGGAAAATCCAACAACTATATATTAAACAGTTAGCTTTAGCCTGGCTAAGTCTGCGTAAGCTAGTGGTAGCATAACCAGTTTTTCACGGATTAAAATACAACCAGACACCCAAATTTAATCGCTTTACACAAGTAATAAAATTTAAATAAAATACTTTATCACCAGATAGTTTCTATTAACTATAAGACAACTTTCTTGCCGTTATTAAGCGCTTGGTTTCGGAAGCTAACAGGAAGCTAACACCAATCCCAAAGTATTAAACAGATTCTCCCTTTTTTTTCCTCTATAATTTTTTGTCTTGGATATTTTTTGTTTATAACCGAAAAACAGCATATATATACACAGGTATATAATGTATATGTTTTTATATCAATGGTTTAACGGTCAGGAAGTGCAGAGTCACGTGCTTCATGTGTTGAAATCTGTCACTCATTAGATGCCATTTAAAACAGACTGTTAGATGGAAGACTGGCAGGCTCATGCAGAATGGATCAGAAACACTGAGATAAGGAAAGATTAGAAACATAAACTGGTCAGATGGTATGAAATTATTGTTTTATGGTGCTGTTCTAATTAGAACTGCAATATTTTATTTTTTTAATAATAATGAGTATCATAAAATGATCAGGTTTTACCTCTTGTGCTACAGCTTTAACTGACCTGTTTGCACTGTTTAGATTAATTTCTTAGATGCACAAAAGTAATATTAAAAGGGTCTGATCTACCTGACAGTAATAGTCATTTCCAACACAAATGACTCATCAGGTATATCACATGATCTTGGCAGTGATTCAGGATTTTTACTATATGCAGACCTTAAATCAGTCATAGCTGCAGTTGTGTTGATGTTTGATTGTTTGCTTTGTATTTGCTTTTTAGTCTAGATGCCGTGGCTGAGATGAGTGTGAAGGCTTTTGAGCTTGTCCCCGCTGTGGAGCGTGACCTCCTCATGGGCGACAAAGCTCGCATCAACATAGAATGCATCGAGTGCTGCGGCCGGCACCTGTACGTGGGCACCAATGACTGCTTCATCCACCACTTCCTGCTGGACGAGGTCACTTCCTCCAAAGGCAGATTGAGCTACTCGGCCCAGAAGCTGCTTCACAAATACCTCGGCCTCAACAAACCGGTTGCTGAGCTGCACGCCGCCTCCGCTTTGGAGCGTCTGATAGTGCTTTGCGACGGCATAGTGTTCCTCGTCGACATGGTGACTCTGGAGTCTGTTCCCTCGGCAGCTGGCGGCGGGGTGAAAATCAGAGGCGTGACTGCGTTCTGCATCAACGAGAACCCCGTTAACGGGGATCCGTTCTGCGTGGAAATGGGCGTGCTGTCATCCAAGAGGAGGACGGTTCAGATCTACATGGTCTATGAGGACAGAGTGCAGCTGGTCAAAGAGGTGAACACTCCTGAGCAGCCCGTCGCCGTCAGCATCGATGGATACTTCTTGTGCTTGGCCCTCACAACACAGTACATGATCCTAAACTACAACACAGGAGCTTCACAGGACCTCTTCCCTTACAACAGCGAGGAGAGGACACCCATTGTGAAGAGGATCAGCCGAGAGGAGTTCCTCCTCGCAGCTCCTGGGGGTCTTGGTAGGTCTAATATGGCTTGAAATATTTTTCTGCAGGGGAACAAAAAAGGTTATCTAAATATGATTTTAAATTGATTTTAATTTATTATACAGTGTAGTTTCTGTTCCCGAAGATTAAAGTTTTGTATGGTGAAGTTTGTTTCTGCATAAAACATAGTTTAGATGTTTCCCCCCTGCTTAGTAAAGTTTTTTATTTCATCTGCCCCCTCTTCCAGGGATGTTCGCTAACGCAGAGGGCGCATCACAGCGGGCTCCGGTTAATTGGTCCGAGAGTGTGATGGCTGCTGCTGTGTGTTTTCCATATGTGGTGGCTCTGGATGAGAACTTCATTACCATCCACAGCATGCTGGACCAACAACTGAAGCAGACGCTCTCATTCAGAGATGGACAAGTTCTACAAGATGTCGAAGGTATCCTGACTTAATCCTTTGGATCCGCATCTGGATTTTTTATAAGAACAGAAACGCTTCTTTCTTTACATATAAAGGCAATGGTTTTGTTTTCTTTAAGGGTAGATTTGATATCTCTGCTCCTTTCAGGCTTTAAGTCTAAAAGCCGCAGCGTCTTACCCAGAAGGGGCAAAACGTTGTCCAACAATAAACATCCTCATGTTTGAACTTGTGTGAAAGAAATGATCAAATCAAAAGATTTTACACTCATCTTTGGGGGAATTGTCGTGTAAAAAAAGTATTCATCTATACAGTCCAGTTTTTTAAATCAAGATCAATGGATTTACTCAGTCAGTACTTTATTTTACTTTGCAAAGTAAAAAGAGAACAAGACAACATAAGGCCCTCATTGCATGCTGTTCAGCCCTGTTCTTAATAGACAAAAGTTTGTCTCCCTTACTTACAATAATGCAAAGCAGTCAGAGTCGAAACAAATTGTAGACGCTTTGGTTAAACAGTAAAATGTTTTAATTAATAAACCTTGAGAAGAATGTGGCTTGTTATGGGAGTAAGTATTTCTTGTTCCAAACACTCCTTTCATTCAGAAATTTTCTGGCCTTGCAGGTGAAACAGACTAAATAAAAAAATGTTCAGTAAGCAAATAACATAAATCAATATATGAAATAAGAAATGAGTACAAATCTAAATTTTCCCTCCACATTTTTGCCTCTTTTAAATATAAAATGACATTATCCTAGTGTAATTAAGTATATAAAAAAAAAGGGAAATCAGTGAATGTATGTAGAGAAAAGTAAGAACTAACAAACTAAAAATATATGTAACTATTAATAAATATATGATAAAAAAAAAAAACATTTGCAATCAAGCCAGTGGACAATGTTAATGAATGATTATGAAACAGTAAATGATTATACAATCAAACAATAAATCAAACGCAGATTAAGTTTAATCTGAAAAAAAAAAAATATATATATATATATATATATCGGAACCTTTTTAAAACTTAAAGAATAAAAAATAAATAAATAGTAATTTCAAATCATAAATGGTTAAGATGAAAATTACTCAGATGATTAAACTTGTCAAAGAAATCATACATTTTTTCATTTTAGATTAAATGTTTTCTCAGTGTCTAAGCCAAAAGGAGCATTTCTGCTCCTGTCAATTTTTTGGATTTTTTTCTTTGAGGAGGAGGGTTCCCAAACGCTTTAGCCTGTAACCCCTGAAATAACAATACAACAGTTTCTAAAAATACAAAGAATTACTTCTCTATATTTATTTAAAACTATAAAGGGGATTAAACATCATGTTTAGGTTTTAACATATTTTTACTTACTTATTTTAAATGTATATTTTGATAATAAGATGGAGTATTTCATTATTTGATTGTGGATTTTACAGTTTTGTAAATATAACATTAGAATCATGTATTAGATAAATAATTGAATAGGAATGGAGCGATATTAAAATGAGAGCTATTATTGATATCCCTTAATGATATAAAAGCTGTTGAGCACCATTAAAAGAAAAACCTCCACACTGACAGTATGTTTATGTTTCAGATTAACTCCCACAATTCTTTACTTCATCACTATCACACCACAAAAATCAACACCCCAATCAAAAAGTGGATCCAGTTTCACCCATCAGTCCGATATATTTCAAACTAATAATGATGTTAATACTGATATATCATGATCATGCATCCCATAAATAAATATCACATCTACTTATTTAATGGGACATTTACATTAATGTATTTTATGATATATTTTGCTCATCAGAACTGTAGTTCCTAATCCACTTTGGGAACTTCTGACCTTGACGATGGAATCTCAGGTTCAGTGACTCAGAAAATGAAAATATTACACACAAAAAATTCTCCCGATTTTACATTTTTGCAGCTCTTCTTTTATTTTGTCAAACTAACTAACCTTTCACAGCCTATTAAACTAGACCCACCCACCAGCCGGCAAAATCATGTGGTCTAGCCTCGATCAATGCCCCAGGCCCTAGAACTGGAGGGCAAATCACAACGCAGAGATCTGTTTTGAATATTTGGATGCAAATTGTGCGAGGGTTTTAGGGTGCATAACACTGGAGAAAGCATAACAAGGAAGATGGCAACAGCTATTGAACAGTTCTCGTTTGACTGAGTTTTGGAAGGATTAGACTTGGGGTTTTCGTTGAAACGTGAGCATGAAGTGGCTCTACGCTCATTCATTTTTAAGAAGGACGTATTCGCCGTTTTTCCAACAGTCTGTTGCGCTTCCTACATCACATTCAGGTGCGTTCATTGGTCAGAGCGTTGGCCAATAGGTACACAGATAGCAGTTTGAAAAAAAACGGGTTGTTCTCATCAACAATCTTCCGATGTCTCTTTAATCGGGGCCAAACTAAATTACACATTTAATCTCACATTTAATCATGTTTATCAGGCTAAACTTTTGACGCCTTCATAGAAAGGATTATTGATCATAATGGTGAACTCTTTGTTCATTAAATGTCCTCTAAATCCAGGAGGTTGCACCTGAACTTTGAAAACTAGGTTTGCACAGATCTACCAGGGATATTTAAAGAATGTCTGCTTTGGAGCTGTACTAGAGAATGGAGTCATTCCTGTCAGATTTCGTCCAGTTTGCCATCAGGTTTTTTTTTTTTTTTTTTGTATGATAAAAAGGGATTTGTCTTTAGACCAAGAAACTTTGCAAAAACTTGATTAAAAGGAATTGTAGCCAGTCTTCTCTTTGTAAGTCCAGCTGAGTGGTCACAGCCTGAATCTGTGATGGTTGTGTGTGTTTTAGGGAAGGTCATGCTGGCTTCCACTAAGGCTGTGTACGTCCTGGTTCCTCTGCCATTGGAGAGACAGATTCAAGACTTACTGGCCAGCCACAGAGTGGAGGAAGCACTGGTCCTAACAGAGGGAGCACAGAGGAATATTCCCAAAGACAAGTTCCAGGTAAATATCTGGAGTATGTTAATGTTTCATAAACTTGGCAATAGAAAGTAAAGCCGAAACCTGAACAGGTGGATTAGAAAATAGAAGATAAAAGGTCTGGCCTAAAATAACTATTAATACCAAGTGGAATGTATCTGAATGCTTTAGGTATTATAAAAGGCTAAAGAAGTGAGTGAAAATATAAGCAATGACAAAAGTAAAACCCTTAGCCATCTTCTGATTATATTTCTGCTGTCATTAAAGTAAAATGTAAGGAAAGACAACAGACATTTTTTTTTATTTCTTGTCTTTATGTTAAGTGTATGGAGGCGTTTAGAACAGCTTATTGAAAAATGACATTTTTATTATTATGCAGCAGTCTGTTCGTTGTTCTCCCAAATTACTTACTTTTTTCTGTTTCCTGTGAACAGCAGCATCTGGTTAGTGATGTTTTCATTGTTGACCTGAGCAAGAGAAACAGTTTGACAGATGATTTAAGAAGTAAAATCTGTCACTATTTCTGCTTTGTTGACACTTTCTCCAGATTTTGCACAGAAGAATCCTTCAGCAGGCCGGGTTCATAAAGTTTGGTCAGCTTCAGTTCCTGGAGGCTAAAGAACACTTTAGGTAAAAGCTAGTCGTCCATTTCTGGATGTCTTCACCGGTTTTCCCTCCCTTATTACTCCTCCCATCCATCTGCGACTTGAGTCAAAAAATCAAATATAGATTTTCCTAAATGGTTCTTTTTTTATCTAATTCATAAACTTGTATTAGATTAATCCAGTCCCTGCATTCTTCATTTCAAAAATATTCCAGAAGTTATTATTGTTTTGATAAAAATCAAGATTTTTCCTATCCTGTGACTTCTTTGTTAAATATTTATTAGATTATATAAACTTTTTGTTTTTGTTTTTTTGTTTACAGCTCTAAAGAGGAGGACATTTTAAATAACATATATTTGTCTAATATAGATCTTAATCATTTTTTTTTGTTTTTTTTTTTTTTAGAAATTTCCAGTTTTGATGTATCCTTCTCTCCTCCTTCTTTGTCTTAAACTTTTTTATGTTTTCCTGCCTCTCATGATCCTTTCTTTCATTTTTTCAGAAAGGGTCAGCTGGATGTGCGGGAGCTCATATCTCTCTACCCCTTACTGCTCCCAGCTTCCTCGTCGTTCATGCGCTGCCACCCTCCTCTTCACGAATTTGCGGATCTCAACCATCTGGCGAAGGGTGACCAGGGAAAAGTGCTGCGATGCAAGAACTTCCTCATCAGTTATTTAGGCGAGGTAACGCCTTCTTCAGCCCATCTTTCTTGCAGTTCAGTAATGTGTGACACTGTTCTGTGTTTTTTTTTTTTTTTTTTTTTAACTTCCCGTCTCTCTTGAACACGTTCAGGTTCGCAGCACGGACTTGGTGAACGGCTGTAGAGACGACGTGGACACAGCTCTGCTGAAGCTCTACGCCGAGCAGGATCATGACAGCCTGTTGGATCTGCTGGCTTCAGACAACTCGTGCCTGCTCACAGACAGCATTCCATGGCTGGAGAAATACCACAAGTGTGTATGCCTACAGGATTATTCCTGGAAATAAAATCTGGCTACATATTGGGTTTTAAACAAGTAGAAAAAGGATGCTAAAGGAAATAATGGAAAATAAAGTTGTATTTCTCCTAACAAACGGTTGGATTGTGAGCTGCAGACATAGGGGTGGACATTTTGATCCTAAATGTTTAGACTCTGTTATCTAAATGCACATTTCTTAACAGCAGCTTAAAGCACAATTCTTCTGCTTTATTTGTTCATCAGCTTTATAAAGAGCGAGGAAAATTAATATTAATTATTCTCAGGAAGTCTTTGTAAACTGAGGAAATTGGCATATGGAGTTTCAGTGGATGATTAACGAAGGAATCGGTTTGATCTTTTTTCATTATTGCAGTGATAAAATTGACCAATTCCTGAAGGACTGTGTGAGTCGGGCCTTTGGTGGATAAATACTCCTCATTGTCCCTCGCTGTTAATTAGCTTCCCGATGAAGCTGTTAAATCCACGTCCAGTTCCATCAGGCCAGTTTAATTACTGCACAGAAATGTAATCATGTGTTTGACTGAACTCGCTCTTTTATTTCTCAGATATTTTGCACTCGGGCTTCTCTATCATTTTAACGGTCAGGACGCAGCAGCACTGCAGGTTTGCACATCTTCATTGTTCCGAACCGAAATGATTAAAGCTGCAGCCTGCAGCGGATGGTCACCCCTCCCTCTCTGTCTTTTAGCTGTGGATTCGTATTGTTGACGGTGAACTGCGCGACTCCACCAGATCCGATCTGTATGAGTACATTGTGGACTTTCTCTGCTGCTCTTCCAATATGGAGATTGTGTGGAAGTATGCAGACTGGGCCTTGCGGAAGGATCCCACCGTAGGTTCCCCAAAAATGTAACTGCTGTCTGATTTTTGAAGCCGCTCAACCCAAACTTTACCTTTTTTTCTGGGAGCCTCTATTTTTCTAGTTTCCATCCATAATATATATTTTTTTTGTTCCTCATTCATTATTACTACTAAATCTCTTTAGCAAACGTTTATATTTATGTTTCTGTCTGAACTGAAAATGCAAAAGAATAATAATTTGTATTAAAAATGCAGATATTAGGAGTATTTAGGAGCAGTATAAAATGCAGTATTTAGAAGTAAAATCATATCCCTCTCCTCAGACTGCAGGTTTTAATCTTTCTGATAGATTTTTCTTTCTTTATAGAAAGGTGTTCACATCTTTACCAAGAGGCCTGTCTGCAAAGGTGGATCGGAGGTGAACCCAGATGAAGTCATCGCCTACCTGGGAAAGCACAGCCAGGCTCTTCTTCTGTATCTGGAACACCTGGTGTTGGAGAGAAAAATCCAGGTTAAAAAATTTGCTTTTATTTGGGGATACAGCTTACAGGAAGATGGAAAGAATTCTTGTTTATATAAAAAAAAAAGGGAGCAGCAGTTTGATTACTTGAAAACCACTGTATTGGATATTTAGATCCTAGTTTACATGCAGAGGACTGCAGTGGGTGGATTTGACCTTTTTAAGGTTGTTTTCTTCTTCTGGTGCCTTCAGAAAGAGAAGTTCCACACACATTTGGCTGTGTTATACCTGGAGAGGGTGGTGTCGTTGTTGAAGACGCCTAAGGATGAGGACCAGCTGACCAAAGCCAGAGAGAAGCTCCAAGCCATGATCAGGGAGTCTCATTTATACCGTGTACAGTTTGTTTTAGGTAATAAAAGCATTTAAAGATAAAGTAAAAACATTTCTGTTTTAAACAGAAATAAGAGCTTTGTTCAGGTTTGAAATTGTGTTTTTGTTTTTTTTAACTTTGATCAGGTAAAATGGAGGGCTGTGAAGAACTTCTGCTAGAGCGTGCAACACTACATGGGAAATTAGAGGAGCACGACAAAGCGCTGCATATACTGGTGCACAAACTGAGAGACTTCCCGTCCGCAGAGGCCTTCGTCGTCTGGGCCTCGTCAGATCGAGATCCGCTTTATCGGCAGCGGCTGTTTCACCTTCTCCTCGGGGTCTATCTGCACGACGCCCCCTCTGGAAGTGGCGGCAGCAGTGAGATGGAGATGGCGGCTGTGGATCTCCTAAACAGGCACGGCGAGGTGTTCGATGCCGTCCGCGTCCTACGGATGCTCCCAGAAAACTGGTCCTTGCAGCTGCTGAGGCCTTTCTTAAACCGAGCCGTCAGGGCCAGCATGCACGCCAGCCGTACGTCCCAGATCGCTTTGGGACTCGCCCGCTCTGAGAACGTGCAGCTGCTGCATGACAGGGTGAGCGACACGAAATGGCTGGGACTTGGTTTCTTTATTATCATTCTTATTCATGAGGTCAGACACTGATCATTTTAATTAGGTGGATGGGTGAGTGAAAACTTTTGTCACTGTAGTTTAGGATTTTATGAAGTAAGTTTAATACTTTCCTGATTTATTAAAAAGTCTGTCATGTTCCTGCCGGGAAGCACACCATGAATTAATTTATACCGTCACACATCAATCAACGTCAAGGAGGTGGGACTTGGGCTGCTCCCATGTTGGGCTGCTTCTCAACCACCGTCATAAGACGACAACTTCTTGGTTTTCTTTTTATTGCAAAGTCAATATTATTGCTAGAATCGCAGATATACTGTATTTATTTCCAATTTTAAAGGTATAATCGAGAATTTTTGCAAATTTTTTTCTCTCCACTTAAAAAAAATGCAAATTCCTGTACCCGCTCCGTAGAGGGAACGTCTACTAAACCAGTGCAAGAAAATCAACGAGCCCATTTCTCCTCGTGCACGCTCTGTTTAAAAGTTACTGCGCTAATAGTTCATACAGGCATACTGTGTCTGAATGGCCGCACTGACCTCTAAATCCCTCAATCACTATATAGAGCAGGGACTTTATAGTGAACTCAGTTAACTGACCATTAGGACAGATGATCACTGCTTTTTACTACTCTTTGGTCACGTAACTACCCCACCGCACAGTGCATGCACCATCTTATTAGTTGCCGCTGTCAGGTAGCAAAAGCCTATGGCAACAGCGGGTTGCTGTGTCAGCAAATCCCAGAATGCTTTGCGAGAAGAAATCTCCGTGCAAAGCATTCCGGTATATATCTGCCTCTTCTGTGGCCTTTCTTTTCTTCTCATACACTTTGTAGACACATTTCCTCTTACGACCCTCTGCCATTTTCAAAGAAATGCGGAGAGAAAGGTGAGCTTCAATGACTGGCTGAAACCGTAGCTCACCATACATATACACCTGAATGTGAGCATGCGCAGAAAAAGATACCTAAGTGGGCGAGCACGTAGGACGACCTTATGTAAACATACTACAATGATTGACAATCAGGTGGACCACTTATTTAGACGATCCACCAGGAATTTAAAGATCGTCCTCTATACCTTCAATAAATTAATGACACATAAAGAAATAATAATTTGATAAGTCATTTATTAATTGTGTTTTATTGTGCCAATGTGGTGTAATCTATATCAGTACCTATTAGCATGATGCAGCTTCTGATAACAAGTTGCTGTAAGATAGAATGCGCCATGCGATCAGCTCTCTGGGCAGGAATTTAAACCTGGGTTGTTACCAATTGTAAGGAAAGGTTGAAAAACACTGTAGCCTCCCTCTAATTATATGTATTTCATAATATTTTTCTAAATATATCAGTAAGTGTGGCATATCGCAAATAATCAATGAGTAGACATTTTTATTTATTCTAAATAGTCATAGCTTCATTAAATCTGACTTAAAGCAAGTTTTTCTCTTTGGTTTGTTATTTATTTTTTTATTCTACCCCCTCTTCTACAGTTGAAGGAGCGAAGGAAACCTATTTTTGTGTCAGAGAAGAAGGGATGCCACCTGTGCCACAACACCTTCAGCGAGCCAAGCGTGGTTTGCCTGCCAGGGGGAGTGCCTGTCCACGTCCACTGTGCCGCGCAGAGAGTGAGAGACTCTCCCACAAAGAGACAGTTAACTAATAGCAGCAACCATACGTGAGATTAGACATTTCACACTACAGTCTGGTGTTTGACTGGAGGAACCGAGCCACACCTGGAAGAACTGAGAGCCTGGATGGGCTGCGGCCTTCTAGGAGAACAAGAAGCACAGATGAGAAACCAGTTTGGAGGGAGGAACGCGAGGGAAGGTGATTCAGCGCGACCGCGTTGAAGAACGGATTCCTTGGGCTGTTTTTTTCCTGTGCTGCGATGCTACATGTTCAGACTTGATATTTGAGCTCCTTTTCTTTCTGTGTCTGTCTTACAGAGTTAAAGCTCCAAATTATGAAAAAATATATATATAACAGAACAGGATTTTTTTTAATACTTTTCCAAATATTTTGGAATCATGAAATAATACTAAAACTGCTTCGGTTCTTGTTCAGTCAGGTTGCCTTGTTATACTGTCCTAATGTGTGCACAGTCGTTAGGTCTTCATCTGGAATACAACAAAAACATTCTTTGTTTTCTGTCTTTTACAAGAGATGGCGTCTCTGCAGCCCTTTCCTCCTCCTCATCTAGAACATCAGGTGTTTGTTTCAGTGTTTTACTTGGTAACCTGCCATGAACAGTTGGATCCGACCTACATTTTCATTTTGATCTGCTTAAAAAAAGAACCTCATCACCTGTGTAATCTATTTGGAAAGACCTGGTGAAGTCTTAAAGATTGTTTGTGGTCAATTGTATGTTTAAATGCAGCTAGTTATGGTCTGAATAATAAAAACTGGTTTTCAACGCCGCTTTCAGCTTCTGTCAACAGCAGTGTTTTCAATGATGTCCAAACCATGATACTTCCACCTCCAAGAAGCCCAAATGCCCCCCCCCCCTTCTGTTTTATTAAAATAATATGAATGTCTGTCCAAAACACATGAGCTTGATGAAATATAAACAGTATATTGGTAAAGGAAACTTTCCAGAACTGTTAGGTGGGAATAGATATGGCTAATTAATAATGTGATGGTTAGACCATAACGGAAGATCAATGGAGCAATTTCCTGCTTTTTTTCAAAATCAGGTTGCTATAACTCGTGAAAATACTACCTAAGATAGTACGGCTTATAATGGATTTTATTTTTGGGATCCAGTTTGTTTAAATGGTTTACCTTTAGGCCTAACACCAGTGTTGGTTCTAGACCAGGGGTCTGCAACATTTCAAATCAAAAGAGCCATTTCTCCCTCAGTTGGGCTAATAAAAATTGTTTCAAACAGCAAAATATTACTTTTTAACAACCTATTATTTTGTTAAATATCTTTCTTAGGAAATATGTTGCCACCTTAAAAAAAACACTTTATTTTATTTTAACTTTTAGAAATGGTGTCAGTGGCTCAATAAGAAGCATTGATTTTCTTCTGTAAGCTATTTGATGTAAAAAAAAAAAAAAAAAGCATTAAAAAAATCTCTGCTAATTAAAAGAAAAATGGCTCTAATGCATATTTCTGGTTCTTTTAATCTCACTCTGTTGGGAAAATTCACATATTCTTTATAAAAATAGCTAAAGTTTCTAAGACTGGTATTTGTTATTATAGTACATTAGTTGTTTAGGTCATTTTTAGGCTCCAGGGCCAAAGGTTGCAGACCCATATTCTAGACTAACTTTGCCAGGAGGCCAGGATAGGCCTTTAAAAAAAAAAAAAAAAAAAAATGGGCCAACCAAACAAAAGAAAAAAACAAATAGGGCAGCAGTTCATTGTTCAGAACATCGATACAAAGTGAGCCGAAGAGATTTGGACTTCTAAGGTCATACAGGTTAAAACTGTAATTCTGTGTGAAAATGACAAAAGCCAAATGTGTAACTTAATTTTTAAATCATCAGAGTGAAACTGCAAAAAAGAAAAAAAAGTTAAACGCTATAATTCATTCGACCACAGGGTGGCGGTATCGTCTTAGAAAGGCAAAAGCAAGCTGTAGGCTGAGGTAACATGATTCTGCACTTTAAATAACTGAAACTATGTTCTCTTGCTTTATCTCATGATCTAATGACGCACTGCAACCCAGATTACATTGCTCTGCACACCACAGAATAATAGATCAGGATAATAAAACCCTCAGATTGTTTATGGCAGCCATGATCTAAAACAGCATCTGCCACTGATGAAGAAAGGGAATCATTTTTTTTCCTTCTCTTTCTAAAGGAAACAAGTTGGCCTGGAGCATATGACCTCTAAACTTTTCACCAAACCTTTCATCATGTGCTGCTTTGATGGTCCAAGAGCATACCTGAATGGATTAATACGTCTAGGCTTTCAAACGCTGCCTCTTTTCAGAGGAGTTATGGTTCTAACCTTTGTGCTGTGACACCTCCATGGAGAATGGAAGAAGATGGAGGTCAGCTGTTTTCTGTCACGCTGAAAACCCTGAACTTCCTTACAGGCCTGTCAGCAGAGTAAACTATCTTTCTGTTACGGCTTTCTAAATGCTGTGTGTGTGTCAGATAACAATGAGGTGTGGCTTGGAGGTCATAAATTCTGTTTTCAGACTGGCAAGATGTATTCATGAAGCCAGACTGTGTTGACTTTATGCACATCAGGGGTGTATTATTTGTTTGACGCATGTTTGTCTTTAGAAAATGTTCTCAGGTGGCAGAATGTGAATTTAATAAATGTCTCAAGGCTGATAATGAATGAAAGAGAGTTTAACCTTTAGCTTGTTGGAACGGCCTACACATCATAACTACAAACCATAAAAACAAGAAAAAATAGAAACTTTTATAAAAAAAGATATATGTTTAACTACTGAATTTGAATTGCCTGTCTTCTAAATTGTTGCCTCTGGGTGGAATGTCAATCTGCAAATCCGTCCCATTTTAATATTTCTCTGTTTTAGCTTCAGCTCAAACTTTGGGCATAATTTCTGGGACTTTTGCCTTTCTTTTTCCTCATCTGGTATTTTTGCTGCCAAGAAACTAGCCAGAAATAACAGGGGAGGAAAAATGAACATCAGGCCTCACTCATCAAAAAACACAAACACCAGATTCTATATCAACACATCTACTGTCAAGGGATTTGAACAGTTTTCTGTTTTGTTTTTTTATTCCCTTTAACAATGTCAGTTTATAGTGATGTTAAAGTAAATATCTAAACAATGACAGATATATTCATTAAAAACATTGTTTACTATGCATCAGCTTATCAAGTTATACATTAATATTACCTGAAGTTTTTTGCATAAAAAGTGAGATTTAACTAAAGGCTCAGCTTTGCCATTTTATCTTTATAAATTGTCCTCTACACTGCAGAGCAAAATAGTTTTGGTGAAAATTACTGAAGAAGAGAGATTTGGGGCATTAAAATTGCAGTTAAGATTTTCATCATCATATCACTAAAAAAAACTGTTCAGGAGCAATTTGGTTATGATTTTTGACATCTCTACAAACTCACTCTGGTTAACACTTAAGCTTTTAACTCAATGATTGTTTTTAAACATTTTAATTTTGGGGTTATGGAGGAGAGAGGGTGCCTAGTGGTTAGGCGATAGAGCTTGGAATCCAGAGGTTCTCTGTTCGAGCCCCACTTCAACAGACTGCCACTCTGGGTCTCTGAGCAAGACCCCTAAGCCCTGATTGCTCCCCGGGCGCCACACAATGGCAGCCCACTGCTCCCCAAGTGGATGGGTTAGATGCAGAGGTAAACTTCTCCAATGTGAGATCAATAAAGTTCAACTATTACTATAAAACCATATTCTGGGCAATATGGAGATCCACCAAAACATCTTTAGTTTCACATATAAGTGGAAAAAAGAAAACACAAAACTTACAACACAGATGAAACCAACAGACATAAGAAGAGGATCATCTGAATGTTTGAGGTCATCCTAATCAGACGGTGTTATTCAGTCAGAATATTAGCGTCCAAAGGATTTTGCGTCTACATTTTTTAACAACTCTTAACTTCCCATTTGAATGGATAGTTGTTTAGGGTTTCCTTTTTTAACTTTTAGTTTATTCACCCATAAACGCAAGGCAAGTTTACATTTATAGAACATTTTATTAGCATGACTACTCAAAATGATTTACATGAGGAGGAAGAAAAAGTACACTGCACTGTCATAAAGTTGAAGTTAGAGAGAATAAACATGAATAATAAAAATTAGAGGTTTATATTTAAAAAATGAAAGGAAAGAAGAGATGCAGCTGGTTTTAAAATATCTTGAATAAAGTAAACAGACTTATATTTTAGCCATATTAAAATCCCTTTAACATGGAAGAAATTTCAAACGTGATAAACTCTGTGGTAAAGTTCTCGGGACGGTCTCTATCTCTGACATTATCACAAGCTGCCCTGTCCTAAACTCCTTGATATTATTTGGCTTTGAATGCATTATATTCTATTTAGGCTATCATGTTACTTTTTTTCCCAGATAGTTAAAAATCAATATAAAAATAAAAAAGCTATTAATAAATTACATTTAACATCAGAGCAAGTATTGCACTGTAATGGTATTGTGGTTTTACATTCCCTTCAGAAATTGTCTTTACATGTATGACTGTGTATTAAACATTTAGTAAATAGAAATAAAGTAGGAAGACAGAAAACATTTCTGATTCCATAAATATATAACATTTGCTATGTTATAGTTATTTCTTTGCATCAACCACATCATGTAACACCCCTTAGCAGTTGGTGGCGGTAATGCTCACCTAACGTTTCTGCCAACCGCCATAAAAAATTCAAGAAGAAGAGATTCTTGTTGACACCACTATGGGGGACTCGTGCGCCCCCTGCTGATCGTTCACTATAGCTGCAGCGCCCGATCCGTATAGCAACACAAACGCCATCTTTGGCCGACAGAGTGCTGCACTGAAGCAGAGTTATTGGGTCGAAACTAGGTCAGGCGTCTGGAAAACCAGAAGACTTTTTTGAAGATCTCCACTAGGAACCCTTTGGTGTTGGTGTTCAGTAAAGTTCGGCTAACACCGTGTTGTCGTACGGTCCAATGTGTTTGATCGCTTGGCCAGCACGTACGCAGTTTTATTTTGTCGGTCCCGGTTGATCCGCTGTAAATAAACAACCAACAGTGGAGCTGAAAGCCAGGTGAGATAAACAGACAAAGTGAAACTCAAAACATAAACTTTGTTGTAAATTGATTTTCTATCTCTCTTTTTTTTTTTTACTTTACTTTTTTTATTAGCAACTTGCTAATAATAGTTAGCTAAACCCCAGCGTGTTTTTAAGCTAGTTATCCGTGTTTATGTGTGTTTTAACGTCTGTTTTATCGACATTAATAAACATTTCTGTCCATTTGATATGGCTTTAGACATACTTTCGGCGTCAACTGTATCTAACATGTTTTAGTGTTGAAATTGAGAGGGAGGCGTGACCTGTGAGTACAAATGTTTTCATTGTGAAGCTAGAGATAGAATGGGTTCGCCTCTTTCACACGCCAGCGTACTTAGCGGCGCGGCGGGTGGTGCAATGATCAAAGTTAAAGGTGGTCTGTTAGTGTTCAAAGTGAATTTTAATATAACGACCTCTTTCATACTGATTTCAAGACTCTAACTGAGTGTAAAGTGATCTATGGATTGATGATTTTATTCTGCCCGTGGTTTGTTTTAAACTCAATATTCCATTCTCCTAGAATGAAACGAAGTTTCCAAGAG